ATATTGTATATTCGGTTCTTGTGATCATTCCATGTATTCAGTTGGAGTTCGTGACTTAGTATTACCAGTTTTGGGAGGTGATATATTCATATTTGTTCCGCTGTTAGTTTTGATTACTTATTTAATTAAAAAAATATGGCTTCAAAATGTAATTGAAATCTGCTTACCTAGTCTTAGAGACTATGTGCCATCACGACACCTGTGGTGGGATTTTGGGTCTTGACAATCTGGCCTTTTTCCCTTGAATTAATCAGCAGGTATTGAAAACAATACTAGGTTTGCTGGCAATAAACTTGGGTGATTGTCAGAAATCGCCCCATAAGAAGTTGTTATTATGCGAATGTCCTTAAAATTAGAGATATTTAAAAAATAACCATGGCATGTTCTTCATATTTCTACCCGACCGACATAGTTTATGCTATATTTACTCTATTGATATGTTAAGTTGTTCATCAAAGTCTACCAAAATAACATGCTTTTGCTCTTTAGGGATTTTTATCGGATTAGTGGAGTTTATGTTGTATTTACTCTAACTATCAATTAGGTTGTTCATCAAAGTCTACCGTATTAGCATAATTTTTTAGGATTATTTTACCAAAGCGTTATTCGAAGTTACAACTTCAATTTGATCAAACCATCCCAAAATTGCTCAAAATGATCTCAAATTTGAAACAAAGCTTCCAAATACCAACACAAATAATTCATAGTCACCAATTTATTCAAATAACACCAAATACAAAAGACCTACTTTGTCTTTTTCAATATTTTAAAGGTCCAACATATGGCTGGCATGTGGGCCCGGCCCGGGCCTAAGTGGGCTTCGTGGGCCGATCCTAAGTAGGCTCGGTCCCAACTTAAACGGGTTTTGCGGGCTTTTTATAGGAATCGGCCCAGGACCGAACCCACGAACAAATGATCCCGGTCTAAGTGGGCCGGTCCCGGGCCTAAGTGGGCCCAAGTGGGCCCAACAGATACTTTTTATTTTTTAATTTTTTTTATAGAAGGAAGAGAAAAAAATGGTAATAAAAATATCTAAGGCAATTCCTTGTAAATTATATTATAGAATTGTGACCTAAAATTTTTAATTCAAATTTAAAGATAAAAATATTGTAAAGAGATATTCAAAGCAATGTGTTGTAATTTTATTATAGCATTAAAAGAACATGGCAATATCTTTCTTAGTATTCCTTCCCCCCCATGGAATGAGCACAACAAGGTGCTAATACCACCATTGAGAAGAAAAAGAAACTAATCAAGATGTGCCAAAATACAAGTTACATATTAATTTTTGTTCATACAAGTTACATGGTATCTCTTACAAATTTCATAAATCCTTCAAGGTCCGGAGGAATTTCCATTGGTGGTGGAGGAAAAGAAGCTTGGTCATCACCTCTTCCGGGCGAAGCAGCATCCTCCGCAAGTTCGGCTAGCATTTCTTCATAAATTTTGTCTACCTCTGGTTGTGATTCAGCAAGTCCAAAATTTCTTCTTTCCGAACGGATCCAATCTCTGAAAAGTACTGATTTTTCCAAGCTCTCCCTCATAGACGCTCTATAATCACCGAGTTGAAGTCTTGCTTGACTGAAAGCGCTCTCTGATGCCACTGTTGAAGCTTGAATAGTTAAAATATCTCGGGCCATCCTTGAAAGAATCGGAAAGTATTTTTCTTTATCCTTCCACCATTCCAAAATATTAAAGGATCTGTCGGGATTCACTTTCTCAATTCCCTGTGACAAATAAACTTCAAGCTCATTTAGTTGTAAAAAATCACTAGTACTAGAAACTTGAGAACCCCTGAAACCCGCCCAAGCACTAAGTGCTCTTACTCCCACAGTTCTTTTAGATGATTTAGAACTAGAAGAAGGAGTTGGAACATTTGGTCTAGCATGATCTAATGCAACTTGATAAGCATTATAAATAGTTTGAACATTTATTTTAATTGAGGCTATTGTGTCCGGAAGTTTAGACAACTCCTCATCTTCAAGTGTTAAACCATTATAAACAGTTTCATACCAAAATTGAGGTCCTCCTAATCTCATAGTAGGGTTTAACAAGGCAACAATACCATAAATAGGGGGAATAGGGAAAAAATATTTTTAAAACTTTTTTCTTATAGAATCAATAGCAAGTTGATAAATTTTCCACCCTCTGAAAAATGATCAAACAAATTTGCAAGTTTTGCAATATAAACTAAACAGTTAGAAATAGTAGGATAATATTGCCCAGAAAATTCATTTGTAGCAATATAAAATTTTTCTAAAAAATCTACAAGTATTTTAACATTATCCCAATCCGTATTTGTAAGGTGCTCATCATCATCACTTACATGAGCATTAAACGTTGAGTTTATTGGGGTTTCTATATTCATATGCAACAACTAAATTTTCATACATATAATTCCATCTAGTTGGACAAGGTTTAAGAACCTTTCTTTCTCTTAGGCCAAATTCATCGCATCTTTTAAAATATTCTCTAAGTCAACTTCTACGGTTTGAATAAAAAAGCCAGTTAAGAGCCATTTTAACCTTTTCAATTTCAACATTTAAAATTCTCATACCATCACCCATAATTAAATGATAAATATGACAAATACATCTAACATGAAAAATGTTACTAAATGCAGGACTTAATGTAGTGGTAAGCAAGGCTACAACATTTGTGTTACTAGTGGCATTTATCAATAGAAACTGTCATTATTTTATCACTAATACAAAAATATCTACAAATATCTGTAACTGTGCTAGAAATAAACTGTCATGTGTGACGTGAAATATTTATTCTATAAGCAATAATGTGCTTTTGCATTATCCAATCCCCACCAATCCAATGACTGGTAAGAGTAAGGTAATCACAGTTATTACCACTTCTACCAATATCAGTTATAATAGCAACACGACAATTTATATGAGTAAATAAATAGCGTAAAAATTGTTCATATTCATGTTTATATTTATAAATATCGTTATTTACGGTTGTGCGAGAAAAACCTTTATAAGTAGGATTAAAAACTTTTCTAATATAATGCACAAAGTGAGGGTTAGAAGGAAAACTATAGGGTAAGCACACATAACAATAACCATTTTTGCCAATTCTTCACGATCTTTTTTTGGATCATAATATAAAATACTACCGGTAACAGTGTTAATTCCCGGTTGAGATTGATTTGACCCGGTACTAAGATCAGCATGACTAGGTACACTTGTCCCCTAATTTTAGAAAGAAAAAACAAATAGGAAATTGACGCAATTTAATCTATATCTATACTCTATTAAAAGTACGAAGACCCTTAGCGAAATGTATTCACTTTTTTTATCCTTTTAAAATAGAAGTTACACTGGATAGTATCGTTATTTAATTATTCATCTAATATTTAACACTTTTAAGTCAACTAAAATTTTGCATATTAAAGTTTTTCTTATTTAAACTACAGTCAAACCTCTCTATAACAGCGTCGTTTGTTCCAAATATTTTTGGATGTTATAATAACAAAGTGCTGTTATAGAGAATATATATTATAACATAACATAAAAATTGGTTCCGAAAAAGTTTGGCTTGTATAGTTAAGTGTTGTTATATAATGATACTGTTATAAAGATGTCTGTACTACATAAGAAATCATAATATCTAGGACATCAAAATAAATCAAATTGAACAAATTGTTTATAGATTTTTCTTTCTCTTATACGTGCTTACAAACTAATTTGAAACGTACATATCAAATTTCATTAAGCATTTATGGTTCCATTAAATGCATATTTTTCTCCCAAATTAAATGATTAAACTATCGTATATACATCAAAATTTATATAATTATTTTCTTGAAAAATATACCTATGTCATTAAAGGGTAGTCTATTTTGACTAGCTATAATCTTTAACCCATTCTGACCATCTAAAATTATGAATACCATTAAAAACTTAAAACCAAATTTGAAATAATGTGGGCAAATTATATGAAAAAAGTAATAAGAAACTTAAATATATAGCTCACTATAGTATAGAAACAAGATAAACATAATCATTGGAAACAATTGCTGGAATTTTAAAATATGTAGAATTTTAAATCAGTTAAAATTTTGATTATTAAATTTTTTTATTTGAATTATGTAGAAAAATCTAATAACTAAAAGTTAAGATCAATAAAGATTTCACCTTAAATATATTCTTTCCTTATTTGGACTATGCAGCATAACTATAACACATTGCATGTTAATATTAATATTCAGAACTTCAAAATCAACTTAAATTTTATTCATTGAATTTTTTGTATAATATTTAAAAATTACGCCCAGTAATTATTTCAACTTGCAAAATTATAAAAAAATATATATTCTAAATGAGCAGAATTTACTCAATAATGGCAGAATATCATACACTCAATAATTATTTTCTATTAATATCTGCATACTTGAAGCAATAAGAATGAAATAGTAAACGATAAAAATATATTCTAAACGAGATGTCATTAATTAATTTTCTTTTTTTAATAATATTCCAACAAATGACAACCCCTATATTATTATATATTATGTTATTTGTTACTATAAATTATTAATTAAATATTAGTCATCCTTAAAGTTTATAGTGCCACATATGAATTTGTATTATTTGAAAAATTATCGTAATAAAAGTATTTATTTTTATTTGTTTGTTTCTATATTAGGAAAAAATTAACAATAATTTTTGTAAGTTATTCTTATTATACTTTGAAGACTTTCATTTACAAGATTTCATCCTTTATTTTGCTACTAAGTGGGATCAACATTTCTAATTTTAGAAAGTTATCTAATTTAATCATATTATTTAATAATATTTAATTTATGTAATTTTAAAAAAATATTTATTTTTTTGACATGAAAAACTAGTTATCGTAATAGAGTTATTAAATATTAATCCTTTCCCACCTTCTCTCTAAAAAAACAAATTATTCCTGGCCCACAGCCACTCCGTAACAACAAAAATAAAAAGTAAAAAAGAGGTAAAAAAGACGTACTAGCAATTAACTTCACGTTTCACTGAGTGCGTCGGCAGATCTGCGCGAGACCGTGGATTCCAAACGCGTCACGGCTGTTGAAAGAGCAGAAGAGAGAGAGAAATAGCTGATCTCCATTCCACACTCTCATTCATCTCTTGCTATTGGTCTCTACTACTACTAACAATCTATACACCCAAATTAAAAAAAAAAAACACTCATAAGGGAAAGACAGAGGAGGATCAATGGCGTTGAATCAAGCAGGATGTAATCCGAAGGTGTTGAAAGCAGTATTGGGTTTAATGGCAATAAGCTTAGCAGCCTATATTTTAGGTCCACCTTTGTATTGGCACTTAATGGAAGGCATAGCTGCTGCTTCTTCTTCAGTTACCACTTGCCCTCCTTGTAATTGTGATTGCAATTCTGAACCCTTCTTTTTCATTCCTGCAGGTACTCACATTTCCCCCTGATCTGCTCTTATATCTTTCCCTCAAGTAAAAAGATTTTTTACATTTTGTGAATATGGTTATTTAAAGACCTGTTTTGTGAATCTTATCACTTACTTAAAGACCCATTTTGTGAATCTGACCACTTTGTTAAAGACCCACTTGTGAATCTGGTCATTTGATTGAAAGATCTCAATAGTTTGTTTTGAGCTGCTTTCTAAATGAAAGAGAACTCAATTCATTGTCATTGTCTTGCTTTCTGTATTCTGAATAGCTGCAGATATGGAATCAAAATCCTGCTAAAATACCTCCACTGATTTAAAATTATAGTTCTGAACTTCTAATTTCAGGCCAAATTAGGGAATTTCATATTGTTTGAAGTTCATTAATTATCAAGCCTTTTATAGTCTTAGCAATATTTATATGCCTTGATTCATGAATGTGTTAACCTAATTTAAAATATTCCCCAAATCGTTGTGCTTGTTGTTATATGTAGTTTGGGATTTTCGGAGAAAGGGCATTTTGATATTAACATTGAAGAATGAATAAACATACTACAGTCAGACCTCACTATAGCAATATCTATATATAACAACTAATCACTGTAAAACCCAAATTCTTTCCGGAACTGATTTTTATTTTATGTTATCATATATATCCTCTATAACAACACTTCACTATAGCAACCATATAGTTAACTAGTCATGTACTGTGGAATTGTCATTTTCTATGATCTGGACACCATATCTTTTTGTGAGGCTTGTTAAGAGTATCTGGTTACATGAGGACATTTGTTTGTCAATAATTGCTTGAATTGACATCTTACTTTGTTTGTCTTGCAGGTTTGAGCAATGCTTCTTTGACAGGTTAGTATCATGAGATATGCAGTTATTTGATTTTCTGTGATTAAGATATCATTTATTCTGTAATCTGCTGCAAGATTAGTGTTTTCATCAGAGTCATTATTTTCTTCTTCTAGCTTTTCTCTGATGGGACTTACCTTTCTTTAACATTGAGATCATCAATACTTGTTCATGATTTTACCATTCTAGGAATTAAGGTGTAGTATTTCAGCTTTGAACCTAAAGGTAATCAAACCGTTCTAGGTTGGTGTAATCAAATGCTTTCTCCCTCTAAAGTTGGTACACTCCATAAGTACCTTGATGTAATGGGACGATATATTAGAGATGTTTTCTAATCAGGTTTTTGCTGTATGTCGTTAGTAGCCAGTGTTCGACTAATTAAGTAAACCCTTATGTTCTCTTTGCCTGCATCTGTTGAGATGTTAAACGATTCCTTGATTGGAATGTTTTATGTCACACATGCAGATGTTAGCTTTGACCTTAAAAACCTATGTGCTGATATAACCCTTGGTTTTTTCTTGAGTGACCTGACACTGTTTTCGACCGTTAAAGGATCCGTTGACTGGCACAACTACATTTAACATGAAATGGCAGTAGACTGATATAAAATTACAAGAACTCAACAAATCCAAAAATTGAATACAAATTTTCCTCCTAGAAATTCCATGACCATTCCCATCACTAGCCTGATAACAACTTCAAAGAGTTTTTCGGACATGCCTTCTTCACTCTCTATCTTTTCTCCTCATTTTCTCTGTTCTTTCCCTCAATCTGAAATTTACTTTGGCTACTAAGACAAGAGCACACATAATTTGGGACAGTAAATGAGCCATCTCTTTTTTGTTGAAGTCTAAATGAATAAAACATGAATTGCGATTAATTTAAATTGTGAAACCATTTGAGTAGATTTATTGCGGTTATCTTCTTTCTAAATGTGAGATTTTTGTTTAATTTTCTTTAAATGGACAAGAAAGAGAAAGAGTTTATATGAGTTTATATTCAGATTCATCTCATCTGTGTAACATTATTTTTGCCTTTTCAAATAGATGACAACTTGTACATTTGAAGCATAGTATCTTAGTCTTAGTTTGCTTTTGGTGCACACATGAAGTTCATGTCTGAAAGAAGCTTGAGTGACATTTGTATAGAACTATTTATTTAATATGGTGGTGTCTGAGCCATGGCTTGACTATTCCACCGGGTACCTGCTCCTTCCCTTCAATATAGATAGCGAGTAACTCATCCACAAGGCTTAGGCCGATGGAAAGAAATTACCAGTGCCTTTTGTCTCTGTTGGGACTTGAATTTGGGTCTACAAAGTTTGCACCTATTTCATTGACCACTAGGGCACACTCTTGGGTGCCATTTTTGTAGAGAACCATATTATTGCGTAGGTTATATGGTATGCAGCTTGTATATCGGACTTTTGCTCACATTAATAAAATTATTTACCTTGTAAAGAAAAACTTGGAAGATATCTTATGACTGGGGACATGAGACTTTCTAGTACTTGGTAGGCGAAAATTTGCCATTTTGTAAAAAGGACATTTTGAGCATCGTTGTTGTAAACACATTTATTTTGTTGCATGTGATAAACAAACATCTCAAATGTGATGGTTGAGTTTAAGGACTTATGCCATGATTTATCCGATTCTGTAATGCATTGAGATTATGCAAATCTCTTGCTGATCTGCAAGACTGAAACTCTGCAAGTGATTAACATCTTAATAAGCTGAATATGTTCAAAATATCCTAGATTAAAAAAATGTGAATTTTCTTTCCAACCTATCTACACGATATGTGAATTTTCTTCGCTTTAACAGCAAACCTCCTTATATTTGCTCTTTCATTGTAGTAACCATTAACTCTTCTTTTGAGGATTGAAATCTATATGTTGTGACTTGAAATCTAAAATCTTGGATTTCCGTTCTCATTTAAATGTTTTGCAGATTGTGCCAAGCGTGATCCAGATGTTGGTGAAGACACAGAAAAGAACTTTGCTGACTTGTTGTCTGAAGAACTTAAATTGCGAGAAGCTGAGGCCTTGGAAAATCAGCGGAAGGCTGACATGGCACTTCTTGAAGCAAAAAAGTTGACATCCCAATATATGAAAGAGGCAGACAAGTGCAATTCTGGAATGGAGACATGTGAAGAGGCAAGGGAAAAAGCTGAGGTAGCTTTACTGGCACAAAAGAAACTGACTGCTACATGGGAGATGAGAGCACGTCAAAAGGGATGGAAAGAAGGGGCAGCCAAGTCTCACACTCAGTCTCAGGGAAATGTACAGACAATGTAACATCGCCATGGCCTCAAGTAGCATATCTCCACTTGATCTGGTGCCAGGTTCTGGCGGCAACAAAGTTGTCTATAGTTAAGTCTCAACTCAATGTATTTTCATACTAATGGATTCCATCTGTTTTGAATCATACACCCTTAGTTTAGAGGCCACTATTATTTCTATCTCTATTTCTATATATCTAGTCATCTGAAACAGATTGCCATTGCACTGCAAGGCAAAAGCCTTTCTATTTATCCTGCTGAGTTAAAACTCCACTAGTAAATTTTTGAGTGTAGATTGACATCAACTGCCATACAAAATTTTCATATGTAAGAGTGTCATTTATCATTCTTCTATATCCACGGAGATGAAGGTAAACCATGAAGTATCACAATTTATACATGTTTTTTAGGCTGGTGAAGCAATTCTGACATGCTAGCTGATTTCCCTGCTGAAAGAGACAAAGTCGAGATGATTCTCAGTTTCTCTCCCTCGGTCACTTGAACCTTGTCCGTATATTCTGGCAACAAGTTTGGAAACAGATTACGAATAAAGCAATAGCAATGTAGCACAGGGAGTGGGAACATAACTCTCAATTCTCAAGTTAGACGAGTTACTAATATTTTATAATCATCCAAATTATATATCGTCGCAGAGGCTTTAATGATAGTCCTTGAATTTGTGTTTCACAAATCATAACACATATGCATCATGCATTACAAGGACCGGAAATCAGTGTATACAACCATGTCTATGAATTTGCAACAAGTTCTTATTTCTTGATAGCTATTATGAATAGAACTTCAATTCCAATTTCAAACTTTCCATTCCGATATTCGTGGATCAGAAACAAAAAAGCAGAAAGATTGGTGAGTTCTAGATCCACCTGATGGATTATTATAAGCAGCGGAAGCAATCCCAGTATCAAAATCACATGTAATCTAGACAACTAGTATAAACGAGATTTCACGGGTTACCTCTTGAAGCGTGAACGAAGTTCCTCTATCACGTGAGCCTCCAATTCCACAGCAACTCAATGAAATCTCCATCATCAGCATGATAAAGATTCGCGAACGTTCCACGGTCTTCTACTGTGTTACCCAAATAATATCCGAAAAATAGTAATTTCGTGTCGGCGAAATTTTCTAGGAAAAAGGCTAAAAATTTCGGCCACCTTCTTCTTGTCCCTCTAGGTGAAAAATCTTATGTATTTATAATACAAGTTTTAAGGGTTAAAACCCTTTTCCAAAACCTGTTAGGTTTTCCTTTCCATTAGAAAAAAGATTCATTTATTTCCTATCATTTAGGCACACCAGGGACCACATAATTTAACTAACAAGGCTTCCAATTGTGGAATTAATTTTTAATTTTTAAAATTAATATCCACCATAATTAATTATGAATTATTCCACTAAAAACTCGTAATTGCACTCCTTATTCAATTTCGAAATTCATCCATTAAATCTTATTTAACTCCCCATGTTAAGATTCATATACTAATCAATTAAACTAAATTACTGACGATTTAATTTATTGATTATTTCCTTTAGACTTTCGCTTAACTTATTTCATGTTTCGGATACAAAATCTACCAGTCGGGTTTACACATGAAAATTTATAAGCTTTCATAAAGGTGTATCATCAATCTCTAAACCGAGACATGGATTTCATCAACTAACTATTACTTCGCCAATGTACATTATTATTATCCAATTTACCAGGCATATTGACCTACGAAAGAATCTCGCTTTTTAATAAATCAAAACAATAATAATATACACATCTAATAATAATTATATCAAGATTAAGAGTATAAGTACATTTAATGGCTAGAGAGTTTATTTTATTAAGTCAGTATAAAATACTTATCTCTACTTGGTCCGTTCAATACATACAAAATGTACTAGCACAAGAAGTTGGAATTAAACCATTCCTATAATCAAGATAAATTATATTTAATTTTGTGCTACAATCATCCATGATGATTTGTTCAATTCCATCATTAGATTGTGAATTCAAACTTTATACTTATAAGAACCGATGATTTAATCTTCCGCGTATAAGCTAAACTCTATATCCTAAATCATCTACTATATAAGCAAATGACACAGACTAATATATGATCTATTTAAAATTTTATTAAAACTGAATATACAATTATTTCATAATAAATACTATATCTAAACCAAACTCATGGTTAATAGTATATATCCCAACAATCTCCCACTTAGAATTTTTAACCATGACAATTGTTAGAATATACTATATCTAAACGCATGATTAATAGTATATGCCCCAACAATCTCCCACTTAGACTCATAACCATGCATCTACAACTTTCTCAGGCATTCTTTTATATGACTATTAAAAGTCTTCACCAAATAAGGCTTTGTTAAGGAATCTTGCCAAGTTATTTCTGATGCAATATTTGTCCAATTGTGTTTTGTCATAACTATCTAGTTTGGTATTAAACTCTTCAGGGATCCTGTTGCCGAAAATATCCCAAGAATGTACACCGAATTATGGTTTTCCTTAATATTCTCCCACTACGACGAAGTACTACCAATATTACCTTCATTACCTTACGGGATTGAAACATTAGCTACTTTTTACTATAGTGTTCACTATTCAAACATCACTCCCACTCGACAAAGGCATATTCTGTCTATTAACGTTCTCCCGCTACTTAAATGCAATGGAATGTCAATTCCGACGTGTGGGGTTTGATGTTTTTGAACATATAGTTATTTCTTTGCCTAGTTCTTGTAAACATAGTTTACTTCTAGGAACATGGTTTATTGAACAGTCCTTATCTAAAAAAATGCATTCGTTTTAACAATTGCCTTATTTTCTTTAGGACAATAAAATAAATCTCTATTCATTTTCTTGGATATTCAATAAACATGCACCTATCCATTCTTAGTTCCAAATTACATATTCGCTTTCCCTTTCAGCACATATGCGGGACAATTCTATATCTGAACATGCCACAAACTGAACTTACATTCAGTCCACAGTTTTATAGATGTCACGGGTACTAACTTAGAAGGAACTAAATTCAAAATGTAATTTGCAGTTTCTAGGAAATATTCCAAAAACGAATAAGGCACATCTGAATAACACTTTATTAATCTATCCGTGTCCAAAAAAGACTTATTTCTTCTTTCTATCACACCACTCTATTATGGAGTTTACAGTGTAGACAATTGAGATGTAATCCCTTATTCTGATAAGTAACAAAAGAACTCTTTAGAGAGGTGCTTGCCACTACAATCAAATTGCAGTAACTTAATATATTTCCTTGGTGCTTCTCCGTTTCAAGTCTTAAAAATCTTGTATTGCTTAAATCATTAAGACTTACGGTGCATCAAATTAATATATTAATATTTTGAGTAATCATTTATGAACGTCACAAAATACTCAAAACTATCTCTTACGAGTATGTTCATTTAACCAATCAAATCATAAGGGATTAATTCTAGCTTATCACTAGCTTTATTTTCTTTTGAAGGGAAATATCTTTTAGTCAAATTTCCTTCCAAACAAGATCCACAAGTTGGTAGTGCCTCTACTTTCAATGAACATTAAGGTTCATCTTTGACCAACTTGAAATCCTATTCAGATTAATATGACTTAGATAAAAGTGCACAGAAAGTTTTACTCAATTTTGAAGAACATATTCTCTTATGAGGTAGACTAATATTGTTCTGTTAAGGAGAGACATTAATATACAATAACAAGGTCATGCATTCATGTACCAGAAAAGATAAAATATTTATCAAGCTCAATAACTCAAGAGTTATTCGAAAAATAAGACAAATATCCATCTCTTATTTTACCTAGAAACCGGAATTAAATTCCTTCTAACAAAAGGTACATATATTGCATCCTTTAAATTAATGTCTTATCACTAAAAAAAAAAATTAACAAGTAATACGACAAATTGCATAAAGTCATTGTGGAGTTGAGATAAAAATATTAAATAGATCATAATAAGTCAAAACACTGAATAATAAAATTCAGATTGCATTCAATATTTATATACATACATGCATCTCGAATAATAAAATTCCGATGGGAAAAGAATCATTCATGCAAAGTATATTATATAATGCAAGCAATCCAAGAATAAATATAACCAGCTCGGATAGAGAGTATACTATTATTTCCAGTCAATTGTATATAACCTTTTAATACGAAAATTTTAAATACACTATACATATATGTATTCATCAGTGGCGGATCTTGGATTTTGTGCAAGCGGGTTCAGTCAAAGACGAACATGTCTAGTCAGTGGTGTTGGGTATGACAAGTAGGGTTTGATTATTTTATTATCCTTTTTTGTTCTTAATACAGTCTCAAAATAAAGTTATTTTAAAGTTGGCACTCTATAATTTTAACAAACCTAAAAATATTTTATGAAGGTTAAAAAGGATTATCTATCTCTATTTTAAGAAATTTGTCTATTTAGTTTAACAAATTTTACATCAAAAATTCTAATTTAACAAATATCTACTAACTAAGATATTTAAAAAATTTTAGAGTTTTCCTTGTTATTTGTCTATAAAAGAGAACAGTCAAAGATTGAAGGGCAAGATGGTGTTTAATTTGAGACAAAGATTGTTTTAGCCTTACGTTGCACACACACCAGTCCAAGTACGGATTAAGAAAATTAATTGGAAAACGCCCCCAAATGGGATTCGATCTCAGCATCCTTCACAAACGTTGAACCCGCTCGACCACCTACACAATGAGCAGTTAGTGTTAAAGCGGGTTCAAACTATATTTTATAATGTAATTTTTCTCTTTTAAATATATTATTTATCAATATATACTGTAACGACCCAACCGGTCGTTTTAACTTTTAGAATCTCGTTCCCCTAAATAAAACTTCTCGTATGTGCTTTAAATGATTTATGACTTGTGGGGATGGTTGGTTCAGGATTTGGAAGTGTTTGGGTTGAAATCGGAATACTTGGTTTCTTAAGTTGGCTTTAAAAGGCCAAGTTTGACTTTGGTCAATATTTTGAGCAAACAGACTCGGATCAGTATTTTGACAGACAATAAAGATCAGTACTAAGTTAGAAGGAAACTAAGCATCGAATGGAATCTTAGCCCGCCTCACTTGCTTTCTTTACTGCATAAATAAGGGCATAAGCGAAGTCAAGGGATTCCAAGGCGTCAAGGCAGTTCGACAAAGGCAGAAAGAGTCTCCGTCCTGAACACAGAAGGTTCCTATTTTTTTTTTTTTGTAAAAACGAAGAATTTAATTCGATTTTCTCTCCTATGACTGCGGGAGATTAGAAAAAAGCCACTGCCTCGAGAGCTGCCTACGAAAGAGTTCCGGCTATGCCTG